AGAGAAGAATATGGTGGCATTCTGAATGAAAAGTGAAATTGCAAGAATTATCACAATTTATGGGAAAGTATGAAACTGGCAAACTAATGACTTAAGTAGTTAATATTACCATGTTATTTATGAATATCTTGACTTGAATGACAAAATATTTTACAAATTGATTATAATGCCTATATTTGTGTGAACTTGACAGACAATAACAAGAGCTTTTAAGAAGTCAGTGTTAGTGGACTTGGAAAACTTGCGTGTCAATTCTTACTGCAATGTTGCTGAAGTTCTTAAAAGAATAAGGACATGTCTTAGCACTGAGGAACTGACTGATTTCAGTAACACCATATTTGGTTGGATGTTAAAAATTGAAGATATGTCTTGGAATAGTGGACAACTACTGTTAGGATTTGTTGGAAACTATGTCACTGAAGTTAATGGAAATGCAGATGACAGTGTCATCAGATTTCATATTCAAAACAGTGTAATCAGTTTTCAAAAGGCTGATATGGCAACAATGTGTGGTTTAAAATTTGGGAGTCTGAAGCCAAATATTTCAGAGGAGCCTGAGGGAGATATATGGAGAAGATATTTTGGGAACAAGGCTACAGTGTCCCGTGCAGATATCCAAAATGCATTGAAGAGTTATGAGAGCACTGATGAAGGAAGAATGACAAAGGATGGAGTGAAGCTGGCTCTACTACACATATTGTCCCATTGTTTGTTTGGGAATCAAACTGCCAGGCCTATGAAAGCATACTACATAAACCTGGTAAACGATTTGGATGCATTCAATGCTTACCCATGGGGTGATGATGTTTGGAACGAGTTGGTTGACAAAATAAAACAAAGTTGTGAGGCATTAGATAAAGGCAAAGGGGACAGAGTTACATTCCCTGGGTACATGGTGGCTTTACAATGGTGGGCATTTGAGACATTCCCAGGACTTGCAAAAGGTGGTTTGTGCAAGCTAATAAAGGGCAGAGAAAACATCTTACCAAGGACACTGAAGTGGGAATTCAAGAAAAAACCTACACTGGAGGTGCTTTCCCAAATAATATTCAAGAATGACAAGGTATTAGTTTTAATAGTCTAAATATATCTAGATTATAAGATTACAATTTTTTTACTAACAAAGTGTACTTGTTTAGTTTGAGTGGACACAGATCGTACCAACAGAAGAAGAGATTGCCATGATTGGAGGAAACAATGACAGAGGTGGACATGGAATGGACATTGTTATTCCAAATGTGGGGAGGCTAGATGCTGAAAAGATGAAAGCTATTGCAGAAAAAGGCAAAAAAAAAGGCAATACAGACCAGAAGCATGAAAAGGAAAACAAGAAAAGTAATGAAGGGAAAAGGTAAATCTGGCGAGGGAACTTCTAAAAGAAGAAAGAAGATTGAGATGGAATTTGAAAGTGATGAGGAAACACAGAGTGATGAAGGCACTGAGAGTGAGGATGAAGAAGATGATTCAAGTGATAGTGGAAGAAAAGCAGAGAAATATATTATGTTCATGAGCAAACATAGTAACAGTATGCAAAAAAGCATGAGGAAACAAGCTAAGGAGACTGTCAGACTAGTGGCAGAAATGAAAAACATTAAGCAAACTCAAAAAAAGCAGGAAGATCTTTTAAAAGAAGTTCTACTTATTGTCAAACAGATGTCACAAGGCAGTGATAAAGGTGAAGATGAGGACACAAGAGAAAGAACAGAGAAAGTTGAAAAGAATGAAAGTCCAGAAAAAGAAGAAAATGTTAATAAAAAAGAAGATGATGACATGACTGGGCAAGATTACGAGAATGATGAGGAACCTAGGCTAAATGATGATGATACTGTTGACATTCATGTGCAAGAGGAGACTGAATACATTGCTGCACATATTGAGGATGATATTTTACATATTGGGGATGGTGGTGCAAAAAATGAGGATGCTGTTCTAGAAAAAGATGTTGTAGAGACCGAGCACAATGAAGATGTAGTTTGTGACATGCCTACGTTTAACATATTGAGTCAGTCTCAAGAGATGGACAAAACTGCTGAATCTTGTTGGGGGATGGGGTCACAGGACAATAGTCAATTTGTCAAAGAGATTTGCAAAACTGCAGATGAAGTGGCGAAAAAGGCTTTTGAGAGCTATTCTTCCAATCCATGTACAGCAATCATAGTGAAGCCTAATCAGGTAACTAAAAAAAATAAAATGACATTCAAGTAGCATTTGGAAGGTATGAAACTGACATAAAAGTGATATTCGAAGTATTAATGACAAATTAGTAAAGTTATGTGATATACAGTTTATGTGAAGTTATGAAACTGACAAATTGGTGACTTCTGTAGTACATATCACCATTGTATATATGATTTTTATGAATCTCAAAACATTTTATGTAATATTGTCTTGACCTGAATGACAAAATATTTTACAAATTGATTATAATGCTTATATTTTTATGATTATTTTTTAGTATGACATTGAGTGTATTTATACATTTTCAATAAATATAAAAAAGTATAATAAATAATATATATTATGGAAATGCCACAGGAACAAGAGGATCTTCCCAAACAAAAGCGTTTTGCTAGGTCACCAGTGAAGTACACTCCATCTGAGCATTCGCCAAAGAGGAGGAAGAGAGAAAAGGGTAAGAAAAGAGCTGACAATGAATTTTTGCATCCACTGAAGGAAATAGTTGGACCTTTCACAGAAGATCCAACAGAGAGCCCACCAGATCATGAAATAGAGAGGGTGAGAGCATACCTCCAAGTTGGATTGTTGAAGAATTTTCAAAAAAACAAAAATGGCAGAAGGTACAAAGTGGAAGAAGAAAAAATGGTTCACAAACCGTTCTTGCTAGACACTATGAAAGTTGAATAAAAAACATGGTTATATGACATGTTTACGAATCATGAATGGATCACTGACAAGGTAAATTCAAAAATGTTATAGTTTTGTCAGTCTAACTCCCAAGTGTACATTTATATGTATGTTTGTTTGTATAGAATGCCATTCAAAGTCAGTTGAATTAGTTTGTAATTGTTAAATGTGTGTTTTATTTTTTACAGCATGTTGAGGTAGTAATGTACTATTTGGGCATGAAACGGGTGCATTACAAACTGCCACAAAACTACACCACAACTGGGCCTTTTTTCTTGCAAATACTGAAGCGGGAGCTTGACACTATATCAAAGGGGCACTATACATACCACAAGTCAGCACAAGAAGAAACTATTGTTCATGACATAATAGGTGCGAACAACTATAGCCTACACTGGAGCAAAGCAGACTTCGTGTACTTCCCTCTGAATACTGGCAACCATTGGGTTTTGGTAGTACTAGATATCAAGCAAAGAAAGGTAAGAGTGTACAACTCCAATGCTAGAAGAGGTGATTCACTAAGGGATATCAGGTCCTATGTTGCATGCATAACAGTCCTCCTGCCCAAAATAATGGACTATCACAAAGTGTACGAACAGATGGGTGAGGATCCTATGGGTGAAAGGTTTTTGGAAGTTGAGCCTGTAGAAGGATGTCCACAACAAGATGATGGGTAAGAGGATATAAATTTGCTTAATCAGATTGTATAATAGTGTACTTTTTTATTTTAAAAAATATTTCTTTTAATTTTTGGTGTTATGCATCAGGGGAAATTGTGGAATGTTCATGCTCAAGATGGCTGAATTTCTAATGGTGGGGATGGACATGGATGGCATATATCCTGAAGCAATGCCTTTGTTTAGGGAAAAAATGGCAACTGATCTGGTCCTATATAGCAAGAGGAGGCAGGGTGAGAGAGAATGAAATGAAGCTATAAAGAAATGGGATTGTAGGATGAAACAATTATGTTTGTTTTGGAAGACTGTTATATTTACTAGTACTTTTAATATCATGTCAGGACATCTAGACATCTAGTACATTCGTTTTGAAAAACTTGGTTAAAGCAACTTTCATTGTGTTTTGAATGTATGAAATATGCTTTATGACAATGCATTGTGACAATGCATTTTATTGAATTATGTTCAAAAAATCTGTTTGATTTTTACATTAAAGATGACTTTGTGTTAATGCATTACACAGGGTACTTATATTTATGTAAGCACGGATTTTTACATGAAGAAAATCCGTGATAAATGACATTTGGATGACAGTTTTTAGAAAACAAAATGACATCAACTTTGAAATCTATCTGTTAGAGGGACGTACGTCCCCTTGCCCAGTTTATCTAGAGCATTTTTTTATAGTAACATGTAGATGGATACTAGGATTGAATGTCATTTACATGTAGTAAATAAATGACAACAAATTGACAAGTAACATGACATTTTGTGGAATACAAAATGCCATCAAATGTCACATATGTCATTTATGCATAAACAAAATGACATTATATTATTGGGATGACATTTGGGATAAAACATTTCGTTAAAGCACAAGTCATAAACACTTAAATGCCAAGAATGGCTAAAGCACAAAACCTTAAATGTTCAAGGAAATGATAACCAAGTCCAAACCACATAGTAGAATTGTTAAAAGTACAAAAAACATAAGACAACATAAAATGAGTGGGCAAATCTACATCACTGGGTATTAATTGGAATTGGATTTCTACAAGTTTTCTTATTATGCCCAAGCACATGGCATCTAGAACATTTTTGACGTTTTGAACCTCTATATTCAAAACGTATGAAATATGTTTTATGACAATGCATTGTGACAATGCATTTTATTAAATTACGTTCAAAAAATCTATTTGTTAAAGGGACGTACGTCCCCTTGGCAAGTTTATCTAGAGCATTTTTTATAGTAACATGTAGATGGATACTAGGATTGAATGTAATTTACATGTAGTAAATAAATGACAACAAATTGACAAGTAACATGACATTTTGTGGAATACAAAATGCCATCAAATGTCACATATGTCATTTATACATAAACAAAATGACATTACATTATTGAGATGACATTTGGGATAAAACATTTGGATAAAGCACAAGTCATAAACACTTAAATGCCAAGAATGGCTAAAGCACAAAACCTTAAACGTTCAACGAAATGATAACCAAGTCCAAACCACATAGTAGAATTGTTAAAAGTACAAAAAAAAACAGAAGACAACATAAAATGAGTGGACAAATCTACATCACTGGGTATTAATTGGAATTGGATTTCTACAAGTTTTCTTATTATGCCCAAGCACATGGCATCTAGAACATTTTTGACGTTTTGAACCTCTATATTCTCCAATGGATGGAATCCTGCATTTCTTAGGGCGACCAGGAGGACGCTTCAAACAACTTGGTGGCTTGCATCTCTGGTTTTGAATAGTAGCAGGAATTGACCAACTGTCAGGATCAGCAATAGGATGCATGATACCAGACCATGTAGCAAGCCAAGCATCTGTTGTGTAATATGGAGATATGTACGTATAACATGAAAGGTGTGGGCGTATACCGATTGCAGCCACAGCATGAACACACACAAATTGATCTAATTGAAAGTGGCCGCATGTACAACTTCTAGAGTTGAGGTTTACCACAAAGGACTTGCATCTACTGTCAACAACTTCAAATTCATATGCACATGATGGTTTAACCTGTGAAATAAAAAAAAAAAGAATATGAAAGTAGATAAAAAAGAGAATTAGCAAAAGAATATAGCAGTAATATGTGGTTATGAAGTATGTAAAATGTCAACTTATATATGAATATTAAGTAGAAGAGAAATGATAAATAAAAACGCTAATAAGACTATTTGAATATGAAGTACACAAAAATGACAAAATTATAAAGACAAAATGACATATTAACAAACAAAGTGGAATTATAAAAGGAGATGAAAAAATGAAAACGGGCTAATGGTATTCAAAGTCAAAAAATTAGCTTTGACATACCTTCATACGTGTGGATTCAGCTTGCAAAGCTACCAGGCGTTTCTCACATTTCTTTGTGAGTATAGTACTTGTTTTCTCAGCTTTATCTTTCCTCTCTGTGAACCATTGCTGCCTCCTTTCACGCAAGAAATCAACAAGTTTAGACACAGAATACTCTCTAGCACAGACATTGACTTTGTTCATAGACTCAGCACAATTTGATGTCATAATATTATATCTCTTTAGGCCAGACATTACTTTTGACCATGTGTTAGCACCTAATTTGTCTAGCCAAGTCCTTATCCTGGGGTCTTCAGAATCCAACATGGATAAGTAGTCATCATATTCTTTCATAGTTGCTGCCATATAGGCAGCTTTGAACTTCCATCCCAAACCAGCTGCAGATCCTCTGAATTTTGATGTTATGTTACGACCAAGATGAGCAACACAAAAACCGTGGCTAGCATGTGGCAAGAGTTCAGAAACGGCCTTGATAAGCCCTTTATGCCTATCAGATACTACGTACAGGTCATGTCTGTACTTTATTGATTGACAAACTTTGGATAAGAACCATTTCCAAGAAGCTTTAGTTTCAGAACCACAAATACCAAATGCAATAGGAACTATGTGATCATTGGCATCTTGGCAACAAGCTGTAAGGAGAGTGCCTTTATAGTAAGCCTTCATGAAAGAACCATCCAATATAAGAACAGGTCTGCAGTAGGGCCAAGCTTCTATCCATGGTTTGAATGACATAAAAAAGGTAGAAAATGCATCATCCTTCCCTGTGACTAGATTAAACATAGAGCCAGGATTTGTTTTCTCAAGCACATAAGCCATTGAAGGCAAAAGCTGATAAGATTCAAGATCAGAACCAAATTGCAGCTGCATTGCTTTCTTCTGTGCTTTCCAAGCTTTGTTGTAAGACATGGAAATTCCATACTGCATACTCATGTCCTCACGAATTTGCTTTGGGGGGTATGGTTTATTGGAAGCATCAAGGTATTTGTGTGCAATAATATTTGCTATCACACTAGCAGATGCCTGTCTATGTTTGCCTTGTCTGTAATCAATAGAGCATGTGTGAACTGGCCGGAATCTGAAAAGAAAAATGACATTAGTATACAAATACATAATATGAAGTTGACAGTCCTGTATAAGAATGGCAACACAACATGACATTCTTATAAACCAGAATTTACAATGAAGTGAATTAAAGAAGGAAAATTGAAGTTACCTTCTGATTTGAAACATTGTTACGCCATGTAGTTTTACAGCTCGAACACTCCAACAACATTTTGGATCTAAGCAAATAACATGCAAACATATTTTCTTCGATGTCTTAGTTCTGTATTGGAAGTGGTTTGTGATAGCATACATCTTCAGATGGTGGATAAGTTCTTTTTTATTTTTGTAAATAGCATGGAGAAGAAGACAAGTAGGATGAGACTGTGTGATGATTTCAAAATTTTGGAGAAATGAGAATGAGTCAGATGATTTAGTTAAAAGGCCATCTGACATATCATCTGACATGTCATCACTGTCTTCAGATGATTCATTTTCTACAGTTGCAGACACAGTGTTACCACAAGAAACAATATCTTCGGATTGGCCACAACTTACCCCAGATAGCATAACATTTTCATATTGACCAAATGGTGGGCCATCATCAAAAGAAAGTGTAGGTGAGGAGGAATGTTGTTGGGCAGAAGAAACAACAACATTCTTATAAGTGGTATGTTGTTGTGAAGCATGGGAAGAAGAAACAACAACATTCTCATCATAAGGGGTATGTTGTTGTGAAGAAATGACAACATTTTCAGACCAAGGAGAAGCAGATGGTCCAACATCAATAGAAAATGCAGGAGAAGATGAAACAGGATAAAACTCAACACAAAGTGGATACAATGAAAGATCTGGTTGAAGAGACTTGATATACAGATAAAATGTTAAGGTAGATTGATCATTTATAGTAACAGGAGGAGGAAATCCATCTCGCATATAAGAAAGCCTGAAATTATGATTAGCTTTGTACTGAGAAAGGATGTCACTCAAAGAGTTAATAAAAGAAGCATATTGAACATTATAGTTAACATGAAGGCCACATGTGTGGACATTGTTGAACACATTGTTAGAATCCCAAAAACCGTCAACCTTGACCATAACAAGTAAAATAGGATCCATTGTGGTAAAAAGGTTCCTAAAAAAATGCAGCAAAAGAAATATTTCAGTATGAAAAAAGACACTTCGGACAAAATAATGACAGTTTTGTTAACAATATGACAGTTTATAAGGATGTGTACCATTGAATGACAGAACATAAAAAGGCGAAATCAAAAAATGCATATACAGGTAGGAACGTAGCACAAACTAAATGACAGTTTGGACAAAATTATGACAGTTGTGTTAACAATATGACAATTTATAAGAATGTGTACCAATTATATACAATTACAGAACATAAAAAGGAGTAATCAAAAAATGCATAATTTGAAATCTAAACGACAGTTCGAATGTTAACAATATGACAGTTCGAACAAACAAAATGACAGTTCGAAGGGCATAATTTAGGTAGACGAATAGAGAATTTAACAAAAACAAAATAAATTGTAGATACAAACTGATATCTAAACTAGCGGATGAAATTTAATGAAATAAAACAGAGTACAACGACATACGAAATAAATTGTTGATTATAACGAATTTGAAAGCGATCATATGATGAAAGGATCGATAATATGAAATTGAAGAAAAAAACAGAACTCGAAGGAAAAAACAGAAGGATTGACGAATGCAGGAAAAAGAATGCAGAAAAAAGCAATCGTATATCTAATATAACAAATTTATTCTTCAATGTAACAACGATTGAAGAAGAATTGACGAACGAAAACAGAATCACGGCCAGTATTATGAAAGCTTTAAATTTGAAGTGAACATACCCTGAAAAGAACTAAACACAGGCAGCTATGACCTCGTACTCAGAATCGACGAATGCAGGAAAAAGATGCAGAATTGACGAACAAGGAAACTACTCGGATAAGGAAACTACTCAACCAACAAGAAAACGGAAACTCCTTAACCGCTTCAAACTGGATAACCGAAAAAGGCCGGTAAATTTTAGGTGCGTGTAAACAATCTCAGCGAACTTCGAATAGGGGTATTTAGGATATTTCCTAAAGTAGTAAAACGTAAGATAGGACCGTATAAGTCCTATCAACGAGAGAAAACTTGGTAAGTCCTAATATGAGTTTTTTAGCATGTTTAAGTCCTATTATGGCTAATTTCTTTAAAATCAATAGTAGTTTTATTTAGGCATTAATAACCATTAACAACCCATGCACATCACATTTGTATTCACTTAGGAAATCCCATGAAATTAACCCAAAGATTATAAGTAACATAGTCGGTCATCCTCACCTTAATTAAGCTTAAGCGCGTTCTACGTTCCTCGATTGAACTTTGACCAACTCCGGCGAACTTTGACCAACTCCGGCGAACTTTGACCAACTCCGACGAAACTCCGGCGAAGCTCAAAAATACTTTAAATCAAGTTACTAACAAGGTTTTATCATCACAAAACCCATATCAACACAAATAACCTATAAAAGGTTATTTTCCGGCAAACCGGTCGATTTGGCTTCTAAGTCCGTTCTTGGACATAGAACCACTTTCCAACCCATAAATCCATACTTAGAGCATGGAGAACCATCCCAAGGGTTCTCCATATAATAAATATGCCTCATGGTAGAAGAAGAATAAAGGGAAAGCTATGGCAAGGTGATTACCTCAATTTTCCACACTTTCCTACACCTTTTTCCTTCTCCAAGCACTCCTCTTTGGATCCTCTATCTTGAGTTCGAATTTGGGTGTGAAAATGAGGAGTTTCAGAGCCCCTCCTTGCTATCCTAGGGTGCTGAATCGTGTGGGTGGAAGTGGTGAGGTGAGAGGGGTGGTTTTTGTCTCATTTAGACAAATGAGTGAAGGGAGGGGGTCTACTACATGTCAAGAGTGTCTCCCCCATCCCCTCAATTGTTATTCAGCCAACTTGGCACTCATCCAGCCCTCAAGGGTTGACAAATTCGTGGGGTGGCCCCCACCCATGTGGGAGGTCATCCTAATTTGTCCCAAAGTGTACAATTTGCCCCGAAAGTTGTATTTTCCGGACTGTTTTTAGATATGTTTTATTTTATCGGGTTAAATAATTATATTACGTGTTCTTAATCATTATACCATTTAGAATGAATATGCATTCCCCAACTTTAATTTATAAGTCTCCAAAATCCAATTTCGGGCTTTTATCTGATAAATTTATCGATACCGGTATTTGGGCCTCTATTGACCGGTCGGTCAACCCTGGGCCTTTCCATGGCCCAAATGAAGTATCCACCATCTATAAATATTTTCTAGACCCAGACGAATATAATATGTGGTCCCGATAATATCGGGCGGTCCCCACTCCCGATGTGGGCCCCACGTGCATTTTACTGTTCACGCGAAAAAATTAATACAAATTCACAACCTCGTAAATTCACTAAAAATTTCATAGGATTCAATAAATTATTCGCTTAAATATAAGTACATTTGGGGACGGTGTTACAAAATCGGGCGTTCTTAAAAGTGGATCTCATCCACGACGAGATCCTTGAATTATATTCTTTGATAATAGCCTTTTCATCCCTTTTATTCCATCGATGTTTGTCCTTCATTAAAAAATTGACATGTTGTTTATTAAATTTAAGTTACTAAAATCACTACTAGAATTTTCCTTATTTGCTGCTACCCAATTGCTGCGGTTCTTAGTTAAAACACATCAAATAGGCAAAATTTATAAGTATTTGCTGCGATTCTACTACGACCGCAGCAAAAAGTTGAAAAGTTTGATACTTTTTGCTGCGGTCGTGTTAGAACCGTAGCAAATACTTGTAATATTTCGAATTTTAATTTTCTTTTGATCTACTCGATAACATTGGAAGAGTATGTGGGATACTCGTGAAAGAATCACCTATGTGAGAGAGAAGAGGGCCGCTTCAAAGGAGAACTGTAAAGGCTCAGTTCTTTAGAAACTCTTGCAGAACCAGGACGGTGACCCATGGCCAAAACGGGCACACCCATGAGAACGGAACAAAGTTGGAAGGTTCTTGTGTAAAGATAAGTCAATGTTTACACGACGGCAGTATAGTTCAAGGACATCGAGTCTACTAGACAACCAGTAAATAAACGTGTCTTTACAACGGAAGGTTCAAAGGATAAAACCTACATCTCCGTATGCAAGGATCATCCGGTGAACACAACGTGTCCTCCTATCTTCGTGTCTTTTTAAGTCCCGAAAATCAATTTTCATTCATGTGGGGGATTGTTGGAAAAATGTGTTAAAAATTGCATTAAATGGTCATTTTGGGGAAATTATTTGAGTGGGGTCCACTTCCGATTTGGGTCGGGTTAAAGTAGTTTCGGATTGTCCTTGTTAAGGGCTACAATTCGATATATGGTACGCTCAAAACGGATAACGGGTGAATGAGAAATTGATTCTCGAAGTTCACTCGTTGAAATGGAAAGACTGGGAAAATGATGAGTTTCTAGTGTGTTTTATCCCACACCGAAAAACTCAAGGGATTTTCACCCCCTTATAAAGGGAAGCCTCTTTTAAGGAGTTAAGATTCCTAAGGGTAAAGGCTCTCTCTTACGCGTAAGGGGGGGGGGGGGGGGTGCCGATCAAATCCCGAAACGAAGAAGAAAAACCACGACTCGTGTGCGCGGGAGACCCTCGAGGTCTTCTGTTCGCAACATAGACCCTCGAGGTCTCTGTTGCGGGCCTTCTGTTCGCAACAGAGACCCTCGAGGCCTTCTGTTCGCAACAGAAGGTCTTCTGGTCCGTTACAACAATTAATGCCCAACGTTCTTCTCTTTTAATGCTGCGTTAAATGGACAGTTTATGGACGATTCAATGCCCAACGGACTGGTCATTGATGTCCAACGTTCAGGTCCATTAACACCCCATTTAACACACAACAAATCCTCCTATAAATAGCTGGCAGGTGGTTTGCAACAACACAACGCACAATACATTCCTCACGTATTCTTGAGCTAAAACCACCTACAGTTACTCTGAAAATTCTTCTGTGTTCTTACTTGGTTCTCGTTCGCAGGAACTCTTGTTTGTGTGCTCAAACACTAGTTCGTAGTCATCGTATCCTGGAAAACGATTGTTGCAACGCTCCTAGCACTGTGGAAGGCAACAAATACATTTTAAGGACATCGTGCGTAGCACGAGCTTTGACTAATTCTGCTTCATCTACTTTCTTGTTTTTCTCTAGTCATTTTATTTAATCAATTTATTTTAATTAATTTTCTTTATTTTCCGAAACACACCCAACACACTTATCCATTAGGTAGGTAACATTTACCGCTTGTTTGGTTACTTGTATTTCCGAAGTGCTTGTTATAAGAGTTCATTTAATTTAGTAACTCTTTTTAAAAAGAATCACTTAATTGTTAGTAGATTGAGGCCATCAACACGCAATGTTGTTGTTCTGGCGGCTGAAGCCTTGGCTTTGAGAAAAGACGAGGAATACTTGTTGAATAACCTTCTTAGAGCAGAAGATGAGGTAAAAGTTATTTTTGAAGAAAACAATATTCTGGAGAAGGCGAATAAGAAGCTAACAATCAAACTCCACCTTAAAGTGGGCAACATTTCTTCAAAGGTATTACTGTAATTTGAACCTGATTGTTTTTCCTTGTTATGTAAACCCCTATATAACCTTCATTTTTTTAACTTCGCGTTTGGCAATATCCTTTTCAATAACCTTAATTACTATTTACTAGTCAAATGTTTTTTTTTATTCCTTTTTTTTTTGTAGTTTTTAAGATTGACCCGGCCAACCACCTATTACATTAACCTGTGCTGTCTACAACATTATATGTTTTATTTTTACTAGCTTCTGCAGCTTAATAAATAGTAGTAGTATAAGACAGTGTCCCGATACAGTTTAAACACAAACTATAGCAACTAGCCTTCTTTACGTTGCCTATGTTCTATTCTTTTTCAATTTTATATAGTATAAATTTTTATTGCTTCTGAACTGCAAGCTTCATTGACAGCAGGTACTATGCATCATCCATGGATCCCCAAATGGGCCAGGACAGTATGTGTCTAGCTTATGGTATTTTGACTAGTAATTAAATACTAGCCTTATTCTTGCTATTATACTTGAAATGTTTTTATGTTTGCCACTCTGCGAGATATGTGGCCATCATGAACTCAATATTACACACACATGCATGCTATATATATGTATCACAGTATCAGGTAAATGTTTAATACGGAGTATAACATATTGTTATCGTTTTTTTTCTAACTATTATTTAAAATGTTTAATATTTCAGGTCTATCAAAGTACCAAAAGAGCCTTTTTGAGTGATGAACTCATGAAGTATTTGAAGTTTGTGAGGAATTGGCCATATAAGTGATATTTTTTTTTTGTAAACTTTAGTGACGATAGACTTACAAAAAGAATGACAATTTGTATCGTATTCATTTTGAACTTTGGCGATGTTTAACTCAATAAATTTGAGATTATGTTTCTGATTTTTTTTATGTGATACTAAGTTTGTAGAAATGACTTTTTCTTCTTCCGTAAAATAGATATATTTTGGTCTAAAATACTAGCTTTGTAATTTTAATAGTAGTCCAAAAAAAACATATGCCAGTTTTTAGAAGTATTTGCTGCGGTTTGTAAATAGCTTTTTGTTGTGGTTCGGAATTGCATCAATAAGTCAAATTTCATTTTTTAAAAACTAGTTATTTGATGCGGTTCAGAACCGCAACAAATACGTTTTCCTACTATTTGCTGCTCTGCCAATTGCTGCGGTTCAAAACCGCAACAAATAGCTAAAAATAACCGCAACAAATAGTTATTTTTCTAGTAGTGAATATAACAAAAATTATTTATTTTTACCTTGAACAATGACCACCAAAATTCACGGGTGGCCGCGTCAACCTCCTCATAAGTCGGCCATGTTCCCGTGAAATGTCCGCCGCCTATTTTCTTTATTCTTTCCAAAACCTCTTGATCGCTTCAAAAAATTCATAAAAATATTTATATGAATTTATAGAAGTATTATGTTCTTTCAAATTAGACAGAGTTAGTAATTAAATTACCTATGAATCGATTGAGGTGTCACCCAAAACGCACTGACATTGTCGCGCTGGGCATCATTAGAGGGGACGAATGGAGGGCGAGAGCCACCCGCACCTCCACGGGAGGTTGATGGCTGGTCTTGATGCACCTGCGAAGTGCTTGCATGAGAATCGGATTGTTGTGAAGGAGGTGTTTAAGCATGTCCGCCATCATCATTGACATCATCATTGATGTCCGGAAGACGGTCGTGAATGCGAACCGCCACGACGGGAAGAGTGGGAACGACGAGGAGGATCACTCATCTAAAATGATTTATGTATATTTTGAAATATTAGTATGATAATAGAGGACAATTTTTTTAAAATGTTTGATTTTGGAAATAATATATATATATATATATATATATATATATATATATATATATATATATATAACATATGAAACTGTGCATAAGTTTAATATGAGGGGTTGAAATTATTTCAAATAATTTTTTTTACATTAAGGGGACAATTTTGTCTGCAACATGTAACATGTTACATTTTTTTGCAAGTTTAACATGAGGGGACAAATTTTTTGGCAACATGTAACATGTGATTTCGGCATTTTTAAAAACCAGTTTTTTTAAATAAAAATCAGTTTTTTGTTTAACTTTACGAAAAAATATATTAAGTTGTTGTATTAATTTTAATAAAACAGTTTATTAAGTTTTAGAAAACACTTAACACAATTTTCTTTGTATTAAACAGTTTATGAAATGTATTA